CACACACAAGACTTATTTCTCATTGCTCAAAAAAAAAACAAGGCTTAGTTATCAAAATTCACCTAAGAAAAGACTTATTGCTAAAAAAATGATTCTAAAAAATACTTATTTAAAAAAACTTGATTCTAAAAAGAGACTTATTTCACTATCTAAAGAAAACTACTTATTTCACAAGCAGTTAATCCAACTAGCGGTCCTTCTTTACTGTTGTTTTCGTCTCAACTAGGGATTCATATGTTGGCATGTTTTCGACAAAAAAAATGACCATCGGCTACCACGTGTATAGTACTCCCTCCGTCTGGAAATACTTGTCATCAAAATGAATAAAAGGGGATGTATTTTAGTTCTAGATACATCTTTTTTGTCCATTTTGATGACAAGTATTTTCGGACGGAGGAAGTATGTGGTTGTAATAATAACAATCAACAATCACTACATTGATAGTGTATCACCACTAGGCGATAATTACCCCTAAAAAACCACTAGGCAATAATTTTCATGTTTTTAGGCATTTCATTGTTATGTACAAATAGGGAAGTGAGTTTTCAAATGTCACCAACAAGTAAAATACAGTATTAATACATCATAAAACTATACAATGCAAGTTTTACATTGATGGAGAATGATATTAGTATCCTAATAAACAAGATAATATAAAAGATAATCTAGCAAGCAAGTGGCATAACTCTTGTTTATCCTTAGCGAGGCAAACTTATCAAAACTTTTCTCTCTCTGTTGTTATTGAGCATACTAAGTCTTGTGACAATCTTGCTGATTTGTTCACTAAATCATTACCGGCGCCATCCTTTGAGAGATGTGTGTGTGGAATCGGTATGATGAGACTTAGGAAGATGCAAGGTTCAGGGGGAGAAACTTCACAAACTCGTCGCTAAAATCTCAGTCCCGATGATCGAATACTCAACTTCACGGTTGAGTGGATTGTACTCTTTTTTTTTTCCTTGAGTGAGTTTTCCTGATGTTTCTCACACGCGGTTTTTGACGAGGCAATTCGTGCAATACACTAACGGTATGCTATGCGCTCTTTCTCCATATTTTTTCTCACTGGGATTTTTGGAGTTTTGAGGCATGAATA